GGCCCGGACCCGGCGGCGCGGCGCGGCCGAGCGCGGGAGACTTACTTTTGGCTAGCTTCCTCGCCCTCGCCTTGGATCGCATGGTGTCGGCTCGCGGAATCTCTCTCCTCCTCCTTGAGTCCAGAAGCAGCTACACACTATCTTCATCTCCCCAGCATTGTCAGTTTGGACACCTTCGCACATGCGCACAGAGCACTCAATCTGACACCCCTCGCCGGGGCCAAAAAAACTTTGCAATGTATTCATCATCCTCATCGTCGCGCCGCCGTCGCCGCCGCCGCCTCGGCGCGGGATTGGGGGGCTCTCCTTGGCCTTCCCGGTCTTCATCTCACTTATCTCTTCCCCCCCCCCGCCCCCTCTCCCCCCCTCCCCTTTTCAGCGCAGCTCGGAACTGGCCCTTTAAGAAAACATTCCGTGCTCGGCGTTCCCGCCCGGGGCCCGCACCCCGGACACTTTAAAAGGACCCAGGTGGCCCCGGAGGCGAGGTGACTATCCCCCCACCCTTCCCCTGCGCTGCGTCGCGCTCCGCCCCAGCCCCGGCCGCAGGCGGAGTGGCGGCTGCGTTGGTCCTCGCGACTTCCTAGGATGGGGGGGGGGACGCGCGACAGTTCGGACGCGGGTCTGGCTGGGTTTGCTTCGTTTTATTGCATTTTATTACTAATTAAAAAGCTTTGCGTTCACCGTCGCCCCAGCCTGCTTTTCTCCTCGTCTCTCCCCGCGGCCCCCCACCCCGGCCCGCCATCTCCCGAGGGGGTGTCCCGGCCCGCGCGCCGAACCCGGCTCCTCCGAAGCCCCCTCCGGGCCCCGCCGCCCCCCTCGGGCCTGCCTGGCTCCCGCCCCTCCCCTTCGCCCCCACCCCAGCGCTGCTACTCCGGGCTTCGCGGCTCAAAAACAACAGCTCCGCGCTCCGCCCCAGCCCCGGCGGGCGGCTGAAACTCGGACCCGCCGCCCTCGGTCCGCGCGGAGCCGGGCACCGGGGAGGCAGCGCGGGGCCCGCCGTCCGAACACGGGCGCCCCGCACCTCGTCGCCCTAGGGGCGGGCCCGCGCACTCCTGCCTCCGCGGGCCCCAGGTGAGTACCCCGCGGCGCGAGCCCCCGAGCTGGGCCAGCTTCGGGGAAGGGGCCTCCCGCGGCCCAGGTGAGTCGCGGGCGGGAAGGCCGGCAGAGCGAGTGGCGGAGCGCGCGGACGCGAGCCGATCGGGCGCTTCTGCCCCGCAGCCCTCCGACGCGGAGGGGTAGGCAGGATGTCCGGGCCAGGGGCCTGGTGCCGACAGTGAGAATTCCGCGTTCGAGTGTGTCTGAGATTCGAGAACGAAATGGGAGCAGAAGCAGGCGCTGACCCGGGCCCTTCCTGGTACCGGGATTCTGCCAGGCTCCAGGGCCGGGAGCTGCCCCAGAGTCAGCCTGAGCAGGGCTGAGAGATCGAGCCTCTGGTGCGGGTCTCTGCTGCCGCGGGTGGGCTCTTGGCTCTGCCACTCCCCATTTGTTGTGCAGTGAGACCAGTAGTTCCTCGATGGAGACCTGCGTTCGGCACCGAGCCCTTGCCATCGTGGAGGTGAACCGCTGAGGGCGGAAGGCTACCGCCCAGACCCTGGGGTCCTAGCAGAGGCCCTCCGGCTGGCGAGGGGTGCGTGACCTGCATGACCGATGCTACCCCAGAGGAAAGGCTCCACAGAGCGGGGCTTGGCAGGAGCCCGAGGTGGTGGTGCGTGGGCCTTCCTGCCTCCGCAGCTCATAGCTGCTGCCCTGAGTTCCAATGCCACGAGCTCCCACGGTCTCAGGGGTGCCCAGCCTTGTGCCGCGCTTGCAGCCCCAGACGGAGAAGGCGCTCTCTGCGCTGCTCTGTTTCCCACTGAACTGAACGCAGCCTCCGGCCCTAGGTGAGTGTTGACGGCGGCAGCACCCGCAGGGGCTCTGGTATAGAGAACGGGGCAGCTCAGTCCCCTTGCCTGCAGCGCTTCCGAGGGCCTGTCGCCCCGGCCCCACGCTCTGTCCCCATGGGCTGGGTGGAGAACTGTGGGGTCCAGAGGGGCCTTGCTGCCAGGCTCTGGGGGTTTAGGTGGGCAGTCCCCACGGGGAGTTAGGGCCTTGCTGCAGCCTCTAGCAGGCTCAGAACCCACTTAGTCCCAAGATTGGGGGGGGGTCGCTGGGAGAGGAAGGAAGGGACCTGGAGTTCAGAGCTGGGAGCTGTTCTGCTTAACCTAGCCAGGGCAGGCTCCAGCCCACGGACCTAACCTGGCTGGCGCCACTGGCCAGAGAGAACACAAGGTCACTCTCCTACCTCAGCACTCCCGGACCCCCTTGCCCAGAGCCTCCTAGCAAGGTTGGGTAGGAGGCCTGGGGAGAATACAGTGGTGCCTGCAAAACACTCCCAACTGCACAGAAGG